ACACACACACACACACACACACACACACACACACACACACACACACACACACACACACACACACTCACAATCGATCAATCAATCAATCAATCAATCAAACGCCTTTTTTGAAGTTTTTTCTTTATTTATTTTCAAATTTTGCATTTGCATTTTTTTAAAACACCTCATACCCCTGCAAAAAACAGCATTTCATTTCTGAAAAAATACAGGTGAACTCAAGGACCATATATCTCATGATAAAAAATGACAAAAAAAAAATCCAACTTTTCTTTATTTTTATTTTTTATTTTTTTAAAATCGAATTTAGTTTTTCCTTTTAAAAAAATCCGAAACAAAGTTGGATTCCAAAAAAAAAAAAAGGGGTTGTAGGGCTTAAAATTCCCTACAACCCCATATATATATATWTWTTTTTTTTTTAACCTATTATTTAATTCAGGAAAATTCTTGTAAAATCGGGTCCGCGGTGAAGACCAGGTCGGCCGCGGACGCGGACCTGTCTGCGTCCGCCATCCAAGATTGGACCCGCGGACGCGTCCGCGGGTGTTACATAGCGCTGCGTGCCTCTGAACCAGCTCCCAACTGGGGTTGTCATCCAACTCGATGGTTGAACCATCGTTGTCGACGAACATAATGCGCCCCTTCGCCTTCGAGTTGGAAGGCAGTGTCTTCTTCCTGCCGTCCGTCGATGGGTTATGTCCATGCCCTATCTTGGCTTCAAGGTCTAGGGCCTTCTTGCTGAACGATGGAAAGTTGTGCACATTGATGTTAGCCTCAACTGCCAATTGATTCCTGATTGGCATCGGTAGACACCTCAGGTAAGTCGTCAGTAAGACTTGGGGGTCATAGCGGATCCCAAGGACACAGATCGGACGCTCTACTGCGTCTGTGGCCTCCCTAACTTACTTGAACGAACGAGCGCTCAAGGTTAGGATCGCGTTAGTGGCCTTTTGAGCCTCCTGAGGATCATGCCACCTTTCCTCCACCAACTTGAGGAAGTCATCCAGCTTTTGGCTGGCTGCCCAAGCGCGGAAGTCATGACCGTATCCCTGTAGTTGCACTAACCCACTCAACCATCTTGCTGCACTCCCCTCTAGATAGGAAGCAGCCACAAGCACTTCCTCGTGCGGCAAGGTCAACTTACACTTGACATAGACCGGCACCGCCCTCAACCACGTGTCGAGGTCTTCGCCCCTCTTATCCCCTGAAAAGGGTTTGGGAGCAGCGATTGCCGTCCTTGGAACCCATTGAGTTTGTCCCTGTACCTGTCCCAATACTGGTTGTGGACTCTTGGGAACAGGTTGCTGCACCTGTTGCTGCTGGGGATGTATCCCCTGCCGCTGCACAGGTTGCGGGACAATAGACTGCCCACTGATGACAACCTGCGACGGAGGTTGGGATAACACTGTCTATACATGAATCTGGACACTACGTCCTGCTGATAACCCTCCTGATAGCGGCATGCCCAGGGAAACAATAGCGACCGATGATGGGGCTACGTATGGGGATACCTCAGTAACCGGTGGGACAGAAGGAGGAGGATGTGCCACGGGCCAGGCACCAGGCCCTGACGGTAATGGAGCCGCCTGCAATCGTCCAACCAGCCAGGCTAGACTCTGCTGAATGTCTTGGAGGATGACAGTCTGATGGTCCTGCGTCTCTATGACTCCTAGCAGGGTCGTCCGAACTACCCTCACATCCGCATCCGTATTGGTTAGATCTATTTCCTCTAACTGCCTAACGTCCGCTTCTCTTCGCTGCATCCTGGCAACTCTTCTAATCATTCTCTCTTTCTCCGCCTTTATCTCCCCTAAAGCCTTTTGTAGTTGTGCCTCTTGCAGGGCAGCCTAGTGTATGGCGATCTCCTCGGGTGACAACACATTTGACTGGCTTGCCATTACTCCAGCCGACTGACTCTGGGTCTGCGCCGTAGTTGACCCTACAGTTCCTGAACTCCCAGCCTGAGAGGA